TAAAGAAGGAGGAGGAGAGGGAGGGGACAACACCACGCCCACACACTCCCACAGCCTCACAGGTAGTTTAAAACATGTGTTTTAAAACCATCCACTTTTTTTAACTGTTTGTCCAGCTTATGCTACAGTCACACTAGGGAAAACAGGGACAACAAAATTATTGGGACAGTTTGCAATTAACTTGCAACCTCGTTGCCTTTAAAACGGTTGTTTCGAAGACTGAAATCTGGCCCGTGACCATTTGCAGTTGCCATCTTCAAAGTATCTTTGGTTTGACAATGAGAGATAAACTGGAAATAAGCTTATCCCAGGTGTTATGTGGGTAGAGCCAGGGTACTCCGAGCACATGTCCCATCAAAGGGCTAATACAGAGACACAGACAACCACACCCTCTCACATCCACACCAGGTTGGAAAATCCTCAGAGGCACAGGGAGAACATCCAAACTGCACGTGGACACCCACGCTCACCATGAGGTTCAAATCAAGAGCCATACTGCAGTGAGACAACAGTGTAACCACTGTGCCACAACCTTTTCATGGCAAGTCCATTGGTAACAGTTCGGGATTTGTTTGTCTCAATTTTTAAACATCCAGCCTTTGTAGGGCATCATTTGCAGTGAGTAGTTAAAAGTTACGTGTCAAGCTAAACAACATGTCTGTCTGCTAGATTTGTATCATTTCATTAGGTTTTTTTAAAAAAAAATTATTATTATTTTACTGAAAACAGCCAGTTGCTGCTTGTGGAAAGAGTGCTGATGAGACTGAACCACAAAGTAAAGTTAGGGGCTACAAAGATTCAATCTCCCAGATGCTCTGAAAATATTAGTGATTTTTGTCTGTGTTTGTCACTGCAATCATCATTTGATCCGTTGCTATAACACTGACATTCAGAACAAGGTTTAAAGATTAAAGGACTGAAGATGTACATTTTTGTAGTGTAGTCGTCAGCCTTAACCAGCCCCTCTGAAGCAGGAAGAATTGAGCAAGTAGTGGGAAAACAAGCACGACAACAAGCTGAGATTGTTGCATCATGAATCAGAGCTTTGTGCAGAGTATGAGGATGAATGTGATGCAGAGGAGACGGAGACGACAGGCTCGTGCTCGTCTCGTGTCTGTCTATGTGGATGCCGCATGCGTGCGTTATGGCTGAAGACGCCGACGATGGCTGAGGTCCCAGTGGATGACGATATAAAGGATCAGCAGAGATTAAGGCTTGCCATTTCTGGAGTCTCGCAGCCGCTCACACCTGAGCTCGCCCCTGTCGTGTCTCCTCTTTTAAAGAGGGGATTGAAATGGATGGAACAAGCACTTTGCTCCCTTTTTCTTCCCCTTTACTGCCAGGTTAAATTGCTGTTTTTTAAAGCCAGCACTTGGGGTTAGAGCTTCTGGGATTACACCCCAGCACTTTTATCCCTCGTTTCGCTATCTCGTTATACTTTTATCATCGCCACCTATACACTTTAGTACCTTTCATCTTTGTCGGGAAGTGGACAATAAGCACACCTAAATTCAGTTTAACTTGTTTTTTAGTGGAGAAAGCGTAGACTCGGGGTTTTCGGCAGCCTCTCGCGTGTCTTGTGAAAACACTAAACCAGGATCGGGTTATATAAAGTCACTTGAGGTAAGAAAATCTATCCTGCGCACAGAAATCCCCCCCGCCGCCGCCTTTGTTTATCTCCCCTCACCTTGGCAATGACAACGCTCCTCCACATGGAGAAGAATAGTGATGGTAGATCCCTGTATCAGTTTAATTAATCTGCTGCATGCCTAATTAACAAGTTGCATTATCTGCAGAACCCCAGAGCAGCCATGACAAGGGGAGGGTTTTGCTGACGGACAGCGAGTGGAAAGTAAAGAGTGACAGACAGGAAGCCCAAAGAACTGTCATAGCTGTCAAACAGCTGTCACTCGACGATGTCAGACTGACACAAACTTCTTTTTTTCTGTCTTTCCTGTAAAATAGACTGATAAAAGAAAGCGGATGAATAAAAGGGCAGAGCGAAGACCTAATTCAAATCAGAGTTGACACACAGGGACGGTTTAATTACAGCTGCGTAAAGGTTGAGCTGTGTGACAGGACTAAATTTTAATGCGATAAAGTGATAAGGAAATGAATACAAGCTAGCTTCTAGTGGTTAATAAGACTAGACGTTTGTGTTTAAGGAGAGTCTGACGTCTGTCAATTTGTCATCGCCTCTGCAGGGATTTTTAGGCCGTCCAAACGAGATGCAGAAAATATATTTAAATCTTCTATCCCGCGTGAGTTGATAGGTTGATGTGTGTTGAATTTCTACTGCTAATGTTCCATTTTTTATTTAAAAAAAAGAGAGAAGTCAAAAGTATAATAGACAGCACATAAAAGATCCGTTTGACTTTAACGCAGAGCTTCGCCCTCTGGACTGAGGGTAATGAACAATTTAGCTTTTGCACATCCGCTGGGACTGAGCTGGTCTTTTAAAGGTGGTTAACCTTTCTCACCGGCAGAGAGGAGGGAAAAAAAAAATCTTTCAATGAATTCAAACAGCCACACTTTCCCTCTTGAAATTTCAAACAGTGTCTGTCTCTCTTTGCTTTTGACTCCTCCTTTTAATCTCCTCCACTCGCGCTCCTCTCCTCTTCCCTCGTCGGGCTTTCTAGTCAGCGCCCCGAGGGCAGGCAAACAGAAAGCGACAAACTCTTATAATTGTGAGTGTTAATTATGAAGATGAATGAGTTAACAGCGGTCTCTGCCAGCTGTCTCTTGGCTCAGCACTAACGCCTCGGGGGGGGAAAAACGCTGAACGTCTTCGCAGCCAGAAGGCCTCTTCTCAGGCGTAGCCACCTATCGTAATTGTTACCCACTTACTGAGTTCCGCATACATGAGATAAGAGTTGGATTGATGGGAGCGCAGTGGCATCTTCTTGTGCTTGTGGCTGTGACTGTCTGATTGCCCTCTGTCTGAATGCTGACAGCGGGAGCGCAGCTCGGTTAAATTTGTTGTACATGTTTTTGATGAAGCACGTGCCTAGTTGGAAGAGTGTGACCGAGGCGGGTGCAGCAGCCTTCATAAACACCACTGTAATTTCCAGTGTACGTGAAGGGAAAAAAAATCTAATATCCCAGCATGAAATTGCAGATAATAAAACAACGTTACGAGAGAAAATCTTTCTAGGATGACGACTTGAAGGCATAGTTCACCCCATTATCAAATATACATGTTTTTCCACTATCCTTCTCAGATTGCATATGGTCTGACTTACCCAGTTCTGTAGTTATCTGCAACTGAGAGATGGCTGCCTTCTCTCTCTAGAATTAAATGGAACTTGTAATGACAAACTATGCATTTGAAAAACATGGCAGCGATGTATTTTCTTTGCAGAAGTCACCGCCTGTTAATTACTTAAAAGAAACACATCCTGTATCAGTTTGTCTGCCAAACTATACCTCTAAATTAAAGGAAGCTGCATTAGTATTCAGCTAAAGGATCACTAATGTTTACATCCTGTCACAGTGTCATGGGCACAACCTCTTGTCACAGATATATGCGTGCTTCCTTTTGCACAGTGATACTGCTGCCAGGGCTATCTTGATTATAGAAAAAATATTTCTGAGGAAAAGACATTGAAGCTTCGTTTTTCAAGGCGCTTCAAGCGCTACAAAAGCAACGCCATCGTAGTTCTGCTGTAGTCGAGAAAACAAAAACAACTGTTTAAGAGTTTAACATCTGTAAAATTGGGCAACTCATAGTGTAAATGGAAAGTATCAGTCACTTTGCACATACCTCGAGGATTAATCAGT